GTGCTGTTGTGCCCTGGGATGTGCAGGATGTGGGAGGGACACGCCCGCTCTTGCTGCCCCTCCAAATTCTCTGCAGCACTTTGGCTGAAGGTAGAACCAGGCACGCTGAGACTCCTCCAGGAGATTCTTCTGTTGGAGGCCTAAAAATTCCAGTTTGAGGCCAGGGAATATCACAATTCCAGAGATTTTGTGATGCTGGTGTAGGGTTGTTTTATCCGTCGCTGGAGCTGGTCGTGCTCCGAGGCTCCCTCAGAATGGAGTTGTTTATTCCTGCCCCCACCTTCAATGCCAGCAGTGGCCTCCTGCCTTGGACTGGGAGATTTTTCAGGGTCTACAAGTCAGGGCAAAGCTGTTCCCGAGCTCCCGAGGGTGCTTTGTGGGAAAACCAACCTGCAGTGTTCAAGTCCCAACCGGCCGCCAGCCCTCACGCTGCCACAAAGCTCCTGGGAAAGGAGCACCCTGGGGATCTGTGGAATCCTCACCCTGCACCCTTGGGATCCATGGAATCTTCACCCATCTCCTGCCCTGCACAGAGCTCATGCCAGGCTCTGCCATCACCCCCTGCTCGTKCCACCCCTCCAGGGACCATCGTGGCTTTTCTTCCCTGCTCTCCATGGGAATTGAACTCAGTTTGGTGCCTCTCCATGCAGCTCCTCTTCCTCCTCCCAAACACCTTCCTGCCCAACAAATCCTTGCATTTGCAGAAGCAGAAGTTTATTAATTTTATCCCTGAGAGCTCTGAGGAGTGTGAATTGCTGAGAGAATCAGCTGGGTTTGGGGGTCTATGTATTATTCCCAAATATTTTGTGGGGTCCCTGCTGGAGGCAGCAGGAGGATGGAGAGAAATGGGTTTGCAGGCAGGGCAGGAGCAGAGATCAGAGCCCTGCTAGGRGCTGATAAACCAGTGGTAGGGATGCTGATAAACCAGCTCCAGCCCCAAACTCTCCCAGCAAACACCAGRGAAGCTGCAGGGTTGGGAATGGTTTCACTTGGGAACCTGCAGGGTTTGGTGTGGAATCCCTGAAATCCTCAACTCAAGCTCAGGGCTGGGAGTGAGCTGGGAGCAGCAGCTCTGAGCTTGTCCTGCTGCTTGTCTCCTTTTCCCCTAATTCCTGTGTTTCTGAGAATAGTGGGGTGATTTCCATGGTGGGCTTTGTTTGGGGTTTATGGGGCAGCAGCAGCATCTCCAGGTTTCTGGGCTGGAGCTGCTCCCAGCAGCAATTCCATGCAGTGACTCCCTGGGGTGCTCCCTCCCATCCCACGGGAATCCAGGGCACCCAAATCAAGGGAGGGGGGCTCCCAATGGGAACAGGATCCCTGGGAATGTTGGGAACACCCCATGTTCTCCTTTTCCTGCTGTTCCTTGGTGAGTTTGGAGCTCACTCTGCACAGGGGCCTTCCCAGCTCTGCTCCGTGTCCTCCCCAGTGGGGCTTCGGTGCCTCTGCAGATGGAGAGGCCTTTGAAAGCTGCATTTGCAGATCAGCTGTAACTTTAGATCCCTGCTGACAGCCCTGGAAAAGCAGGGGCTGGAAAACCAAGCTCTGGAAAAGCAGGGGCTGGAAAACCAGGCTCTGGAAAAGCAGGAGCTGATGGGGTGTTGCACTTGTAGCTGCTGTTGGTTTGTGTTTGTCCAAACTGCTCTGTTGATTTAAATTTTGATTTATTCACCTCAAAATCTTTTTTTTATTTTAAAACAAACAGTTACTAGACACCTTTTAACCCCTTTGAGCCTTTATCCTGCAGGTTTCGCTGCTCCAGTATGAGCTGGCTCTGTGCAACTGGAGCAAACTGGRAGCTGCTGGGATTCCCAGCACATTCCCAGCCCTGCTTCAGCAGTGCTGATTTAATTACCTTCCACTCAGCTGGTGCTTCACGAGTCCTGCATGTAAAAGAGTAAATGAGATAGTCCAGAGTTTAATTATCCCCCTGGAGCTGGAGTCTGGCACCCAGCCCAGGCGGATCCGGGGATCTGCTGCATGGCAACCTCGTTACCTAAAGCCTGCAGAAAAAAAYAGGGCAAGGCCTGGAAAAACAGGGCTTTTCCATGGAAGAGGGGCAGCTCYACCTGTGTGCAGGTGCTTCAGGGAAGAAAAAACTGCATTTGTGTGGCTGCAAGTGCACTGGAAGTTTCCTGAGTTTTTCTCTTTTCCCTGGCAAAGCGCGGCTGCTGAGCATCCTCCTCTGCAGTTCTCACTTTTCCAGGGATAAATGAGGSAGGAATTGTTCCCTGGGAGGGTGGGCAGGCCCTGGCACAGGGTGGATCCCTGGCAGTGCCCAAGGCCAGGCTGGATGGGTTTGGAGCACTCTGGGATGGTGGAAGCTGTCCCTGCCCGTGGCTGTTGTGAGCTGATCCTTTTGTCTCGTTTTAGGCTCTGAGTCAGACCCGAGGGACATTTGCAGCCGTTCCCACAGCTGCTGTGGGTTTTGGGAATCTCTGTCACCCCCAGCCTGGCTCCTGTCACASCCAGGGTGTCCCTGCAGGGAACAGCACGAGGTCACACCAGACAATCCTGGAATGGTTTGTGCTGGAAAGGACCTCAAAACCCATCCAGTGTCACCTYCCACTGTCCCAWGGTGYCCCAARCCCCRTCCAGCCTGGCCTGGATCACCAGCTGGGCTCTGTCTTAGGGGTGAATAAAAGAACCTGTTGGGARTTTTGGTGCATTGAGCACAGAACGAGGATTTTGGGAGTGCTGGGATTGGAGAGATCCCACTGGGAATGGTTGGGATGAGCAAAGCTGAGCACCGGGGATCCTTTCCTAGAAATCCCAGAAGTGCCCTCTCCGACCCATTTTTAGGGAATGAGATTCTCCCATCCCACAAAACCCTGCCCAGGTCGCTCAGGCCTCAAATTCTGCAGAATTCTGACCCCTCCAGGTTAAATCTGGGGCGTTTTTTCAAGTCCAGGGTGCCCTGTGAGAAATCCCGTGGCTGCAGCAGCTCGGATCCGTTGCCAGGAACTGGGAAGGAAAACAGAATTATTGGGAGCTGACCTAGTTGTTGTAAATCTCCCTGRAGCAGAGATTTAGTAACCTTAGGAGGGCTGCTAAAGCTCGTGCTTGTTTGGAGATGGGGAAATGCAGCAATTTAATTTTCAAATCTTACCGTTTGGGTTGTTTTGTTTTGGTTTGGTTTTTTTTTTTCCCCAAACATCTCATTTATTAACAAAGCTGAGCAGCTGGGAAAATAAACACTGGAACTTTCCTAAGGGGGTCATCCRTGGAGGATGGGATGGGATCCAGAGAATCCAACAGCTCCAGTGGCAAAAGGGGGTTTGGGGCTGGAGGAGGGAAGGCTGAGCATGGCCTTTCCCCAGTTAAATGATGGGATAAAGGTTTAGCTTTTAATTTTACAACTCTTTAAACCTTTTCCAAAAAAGAAGTACTAAAATGACAGGAATCAGCAATTCCTGAAATGTCCTCTCCRAGCTGCATTCATTACTTGATAAAAAGAAATTGCTTTGTGGTRGTTTTTTCACACTGCATGTTTTTGATATTGGAAGAGGGACTGGACTGGGAAGTTGGGCTCAGTTTGTGGTGGATCTGGGCTTTTGTGTCTGTGTGGAACAGCAAATTGTTATTCCAGGAATGGTGGGTTTGGAGCACAGGGGCAGAGTCCCTGTGGAACCCCAGCTGCATTTATCAGCTCGGGCAGTGCCCTCTGCAGTTTCCTGCTTGGAAATTTTGAATTTAAAGGGGCTCCAGGAGAGCTGGAGAGGGGCTGGGGATGAGGAATGAAGGGACAGGACACAGGGAATGGGGTCAGAGTGGAAAAGGGGAGATTTGGGTGGGATGTTGGGAAGGAGAGGGTGGGCAGAGCTGTGGCTGCCCCTGGATCCCTGGCAGTGCCCAATGCCAGGCTGGACATTGGGGTTTGGAGCATCCCTTGCCCTGCATGGATCTGCAGGGGGATGCCCCTAATATTTCGTGTAGGAAATCAGCTTTTAGTGACCCCAAATATCAGCAATGAATGTCCCTCCTCCTGAGCCTGGGCGGGCATTTCCTGCCCCTTGGGAATTGCTCTGCCCAAAGCTCCTCCAAGGAATATCCCCCCAAAATCAGGACCCAGAGCAGGATAATGCCACTCCCAGCTCACAGGGCTGGCACCAGCATCAGCTGGCACAGCTCTGCTGCCAGGCTGGGCTGAGAGAAACCCGAATCCTGCTGGAGCTGCTGCAGCAGCACTCACAAAGGTCACGGGGCTGCCTTGGGCTCAAGTCACTGCTGTTCCCTGCAGGATCTGGGTTTGGGTCACTGCTGTTCCCTGCAGGATCTGGGTTTGGGTCACTGCTGTGCCCTGCAGGAT